TGATGGAGTGAGTGTGAGAGAGAGAGTGATGGAGTGAGTGTGAGAGAGTGATGGAGTGAGTGTGAGAGAGAGAGGGATGGAGTGAGTGTGAGAGAGAGAAGAGGAGTGAGTGTGAGTAGTGAGAGAGTGATGGAGTGAGTGTGAGAGAGAGTGATGGAGTGAGTGTGAGAGAGTGATGGAGTGAGTGTGAGAGTGATGGAGTGAGTGTGAGAGAGAGTGATGGAGTGAGTGAGAGAGAGTGATGGAGTGAGTGTGAGAGAGAGAGTGATGGAGTGAGTGTGAGAGAGGGGAGGATGGAGTGAGTGTGAGAGAGAGAGTGATGGAGTGAGTGTGAGAGAGAGTGATGGAGTGAGTGTGAGGAGAGTGATGGAGTGAGTGTGAGAGAGAGTGATGGAGTGAGTGTGAGAGAGTGATGGAGTGAGTGTGAGAGAGAGTGATGGAGTGAGTGTGAGAGAGTGATGGAGTGAGTGTGAGAGAGAGAGTGATGGAGTGAGTGTGAGAGAGAGAGTGATGGAGTGAGTGTGAGAGTGAGTGATGGAGTGAGTGTGAGAGAGTGATGGAGTGAGTGTGAGAGAGAGAGTGATGGAGTGAGTGTGAGAGAGAGATGGAGTGAGTGTGAGAGAGATGGAGTGAGTGTGAGTGAGTGAGTGAGTGTGAGTGATGGAGTGAGTGTGAGAGTGATGGAGTGAGTGTGAGAGAGTGATGGAGTGAGTGAGAGAGAGTGATGGAGTGAGTGAGTGTGAGAGAGAGTGATGGAGTGAGTGTGAGAGAGAGAGTGAGTGTGAGAGAGAGTGGAGTGAGTGTGAGAGAGAGAGTGATGGAGTGAGTGTGAGAGAGTGATGGAGTGAGTGTGAGTGTGAGTGATGGAGTGAGTGTGAGTGATGGAGTGAGTGTGAGAGAGTGATGGAGTGAGTGTGAGTGATGGAGTGAGTGAGTGTGAGAGAGAGTGATGGAGTGAGTGTGAGAGTGAGAGTGATGAGTGTGAGAGTGAGTGATGGAGTGAGTGTGAGTGATGGAGTGAGTGTGAGAGAGTGATGGAGTGAGTGTGAGAGAGTGATGGAGTGAGTACGAGCGAGAGTGATGGAGTGAGTGTGAGCGAGAGAGTGATGGAGTGAGTGTGAGAGAGTGATGGAGTGAGTGAGTGTGAGTGATGGAGTGAGTGTGAGAGAGTGATGGAGTGAGTGTGAGAGAGTGATGGAGTGAGTGTGAGAGAGAGAGTGATGGAGTGAGTGTGAGTGATGGAGTGAGTGTGAGAGAGTGATGGAGTGAGTGTGAGTGATGGAGTGAGTGTGAGAGAGTGATGGAGTGAGTGTGAGAGAGAGAGTGATGGAGTGAGTGTGAGAGAGTGATGGAGTGAGTGTGAGAGAGAGAGTGATGGAGTGAGTGTGAGAGAGAGTGATGGAGTGAGTGTGAGAGAGTGATGGAGTGAGTGTGAGGAGAGTGATGGAGTGAGTGTGAGAGTGAGTGATGGAGTGAGTGTGAGAGAGAGAGTGATGGAGTGAGTGTGAGAGGGAGTGATGGAGTGAGTGTGAGAGAGAGAGTGATGGAGTGAGTGTGAGAGTGAGTGATGGAGTGAGTGAGTGTAGAGTGATGGAGTGAGTGAGTGTGAGAGAGAGTGATGGAGTGAGTGTGAGAGAGTGATGCAGTGAGTGTGAGAGAGTGATGGAGTGAGTGTGAGGTGATGAGAGTGTGAGAGTGAGTGATGGAGTGAGTGTGAGAGAGTGATGGAGTGAGTGTGAGAGAGAGTGATGGAGTGAGTGTGAGAGAGAGAGTGATGGAGTGAGTGTGAGTGATGGAGTGAGTGTGAGAGAGTGATGGAGTGAGTGTGAGAGTGTGATGGAGTGAGTGTGAGAGAGTGATGGAGTGAGTGTGAGTGTGAGTGATGGAGTGAGTGTGAGAGAGTGATGGAGTGAGTGTGAGAGAGTGATGGAGTGAGTGTGAGAGAGAGAGTGATGGAGTGAGTGTGAGAGAGTGATGAGTGAGTGTGAGAGAGTGATGGAGTGAGTGAGAGAGTGATGGAGTGAGTGTGAGTGATGGAGTGAGTGTGAGAGAGAGAGTGATGGAGTGAGTGTGAGAGTGTGATGGAGTGAGTGAGTGTTGGAGTGAGTGTGAGAGAGTAATGGAGTGAGTGTGAGTGATGGAGTGAGTGAGTGTGAGAGAGAGTGATGGAGTGAGTGTGAGTGATGGAGTGAGTGTGAGAGAGTGATGGAGTGAGTGTGAGAGAGTGATGCAGTGAGTGTGAGAGAGAGAGTGATGGAGTGAGTGTGAGAGAGTGATGCAGTGAGTGTGAGAGAGTGATGGAGTGAGTGTGAGTGTGTGATGGAGTGAGTGAGTGTGAGTGATGGAGTGAGTGTGAGAGAGTGATGGAGTGAGTGTGAGAGTGTGATGGAGTGAGTGTGAGAGAGTGATGGAGTGAGTGTGAGTGATGGAGTGAGTGTGAGAGAGTGATGGAGTGAGTGTGAGAGTGTGATGGAGTGAGTGTGAGAGAGTGATGGAGTGAGTGAGTGTGAGTGATGGAGTGAGTGTGAGAGAGTGATGGGGTGAGTGTGAGAGAGAGAGTGATGGAGTGAGTGTGAGAGAGTGATGGAGTGAGTGTGAGAGAGAGTGATGGAGTGAGTGTGAGAGAGTGATGCAGTGAGTGTGAGAGAGTGATGGAGTGAGTGAGAGAGAGAGTGATGGAGTGAGTGTGAGTGATGGAGTGAGTGTGAGAGAGAGAGTGATGGAGTGAGTGTGAGAGTGTGATGGAGTGAGTGAGTGTTGGAGTGAGTGTGAGCGAGTGATGGAGTGAGTGTGAGCGAGTGATGGAGTGAGTGTGAGAGAGAGTGATGGAGTGAGTGTGAGTGATGGAGTGAGTGTGAGAGAGTGATGGAGTGAGTGTGAGAGAGTGATGGAGTGAGTGTGAGCGAGTGATGGAGTGAGTGTGAGCGAGTGATGGAGTGAGTGAGTGTGAGAGAGTGATGGAGTGAGTGTGAGCGAGTGATGGAGTGAGTGAGTGTGAGTGATGGAGTGAGTGTGTGTGTGGTGTGTGTGTGAGTGATGGAGTGAGTGTGAGCGAGTGATGGAGTGAGTGAGTGTGAGCGAGTGATGGAGTGAGTGAGTGTGAGAGAGTGATGGAGTGAGTGTGAGCGAGTGATGGAGTGAGTGTGAGTGAGTGATGGAGTGAGTGTGAGCGAGGGGGGAGGGGGGAGTGACGGCTGACCTGCTCCTGGAGCTCTGCCAGGCGGTTTGCTCGCTCCTCCTCGGAGTCGGAGGTGTCGGAGCCGGATGAGGAGTCGCTGGAGTTGCTGGAGGAGGAGGAGGAGGAGGAGGGGTCCTTGGGGGCCGCGGAGGCGGTGGGGAGTGGCCCCGGTCCCGGCCCCAACTCCACCGGCTCGTCCGGCATCTTAGCGAACCGGAACTCAAACACGTCCTGAGGGGCAACAGGACAGTGCTCACTCACGGCCCCCGGCCCCCCGCAGCCCCCCACGGCCCCCTGGTCACTCACAGCCCCCCGGCCCCTCACAGCTCCCGGCCCCCCGCAGCCCCCCGGCCACTCACAGCCCCCGGCCCCCCGCAGCCCCCCACGGCCCCCGGCCCCCGCGGCCCCCTGGTCACTCACAGCCCCCCGGCCCCTCACAGCTCCCGGCCCCCCGCGGCCCCTGGTCACTCACGGCCCCCGTCCCCCGTCCCCACAGCTCCCGACCCCCCGGCCCCTCACAGCCCCCGGCCCCCGCAGCCCCCACTGCCCCCGGCCCCCGGCCACTCACAGCCCCCCGGCCCCCGCGGCCCCTGGTCACTCACAGCCCCCGGCCCTCACAGCCCCGGCCACTCACAGACACCCGGCCCCTCACAGCCCTCGGCCCCCCGCAGCCATTCATAGCCACCGGCCCCCACGGCCACTCACAGCCCCCCAGGCCCCACCAGCCCCCCGGCCCCCACACAGCCCCGGCCCCCACAGCCCAGGCAACCCCAACCCCGGCCCCACAGCCCCCACGGCCCCGGCCCCCCCCACGGCCCCACGGCCCCCACCCCAGCCCGGCGCCCACACAGCCCCCACGGCCCCGGCCCCCCCACGGCCCACGGCCCCCACCCCAGCCCCGGCGCCCACACAGCCCCCCACGGCCCCGGCCCCCCACGGCCCCACGGCCCCCCCCCCAGCCCCGGCGCCCACACAGCCCCCCAGCCCCGGCCCCCCCACGGCCCCCGGCCCCGGCCCCGGCCCCGGGCCCCCCGGTTACCTGCAGTTTCCTGGCCATGGCCACCACGTCGTGGTCGGGGGGGTTGTACTTGTAACAGTTTGAGAACATTAATCTGATGTCGGCCGCAAACTGCTGAGAATCCTGGTACTCCCTCTCATCCATCTTCCTCTGGGGGGGGGGGGGGGGGAGAGAGGGGGGAGTGAGCAACCGTAACCCCTCCCCAATATAGCCCTGACCCCCCCATCCCCCCCACACACACACCCACACACACACCCACCCACACACACCCACACACAGCCCTGGTACTCCCTCTCATCCATCTTCCTCTGGGGGGGGGGGGGAGAGAGGGGGGAGTGAGCAACCGTAACCCCCTCCCCAATATAGCCCTGACACCCCCACACACCCCCCCACACACACCCACACACAGCCCTGGTACTCCCTCTCATCCATCTTCCTCTGGGGGGGGGGAGAGGGGGAGTGAGCAACCGTAACCCCCTCCCCAATATAGCCCTGACCCCCCCCACCCCCCCCCCACACACACACACCAACACACACCCACAGCCCTGGTACTCCCTCTCATCCATCTTCCTCTGGGGGGGAGAGGGGGGGAGTGAGGGGGAGTGAGCAACCGTAACCCCCTCCCCAATATAGCCCTGACCCCCCCATCCCCCCCCCCCCCCACACACACACCCACACACAGCCCTGGTACTCCCTCTCATCCATCTTCCTCTGGGGGGGGGGGGAGTGAGGGGGGAGTGAGCAACCGTAACCCCCTCCCCAATATAGCCCTGACCCCCCCCCACCCCCCCCCCCACACACACCCACACACAGCCCTGGTACTCCCTCTCATCCATCTTCCTCTGGGGGGGGGGGGGCGAGGGGGGAGTGAGCAACCGTAACCCCCTCCCCAATATAGCCCTGACCCCCCCCATCCCCCCCACACACACACCCACACACACACCCACCGACACACACACACAGCCCTGGTACTCCCTCTCATCCTCTGGGAAGGGGGTGGGGCCGCTGTGACCCCCCCAATACAGCCCTGACTCCCACTCCCCACCCACACACACATACAAAAGCCTTCAGAGAGGTGGGGGGGGGGGGGAGCTGTGTGTGGGTGTGTGTGTGTGGGGGTGTGTGGGGGTGTGTGGGTGTGTGTGTGGGTGTGTGGGTGTGTGGGTGTGTGTGTGGGTGTGTGTGTGGGTGTGTGTGGTGTGGGTGTGTGGGTGTGTGTGGGGGTGTGTGGGTGTGTGTGTGGGTATGTGTGTGGGGCTGTGTGTGGGTGTGTGTGTGGGTGTGTGTGTGGGGGGGGGGTACCTTGCTGGAGCTCAGGTCCATGGGGTGTTTGATGATCTCGTGGTAGTCGTGCAGCCCGAGGGCGGTGTGTGTGTGGGTGTGTGTGGGTGTGTGTGTGTGGGTGTGTGTGGGGCTGTGTGTGGGTGTGTGTGTGTGGGGGGGGGGGGGTACCTTGCTGGAGCTCAGGTCCATGGGGTGTTTGATGATCTCGTGGTAGTCGTGCAGCCCGAGGGCTGTGTGTGTGTGTGTGTGTGTGTGTGTGGGGCTGTGTGTGGGTGTGTGTGTGGGTGTGTGTGGGTGGGTGTGTGGGTGTGTGTGCGGGTGTGTGTGTGTGTGGGTGTGTGTGTGGGGCTGTGTGTGTGTGGGTGTGTGTGGGTGTGTGTGTGGGTGTGTGTGTGTGGGGGGGGGGGGTACCTTGCTGGAGCTCAGGTCCATGGGGTGTTTGATGATCTCGTGGTAGTCGTGCAGCCCGAGGGCGGTGTGTGTGTGTGGGTGTGTGTGTGTGTGTGTGTGTGGGGCTGTGTGTGGGGCTGTGTGTGGGTGTGTGTGTGGGTGTGTGTGTGTGTGGGTATGTGTGTGGGGCTGTGTGTGGGTGTGTGTGTGGGTGTGTGGGTGTGTGTGTGGGGGGGGGGTACCTTGCTGGAGCTCAGGTCCATGGGGTGTTTGATGATCTCGTGGTAGTCGTGCAGCCCGAGGGCGGTGTGTGTGTGGGTGTGTGTGTGTGTGTGTGGGTATGTGTGTGGGTGTGTGTGTGGGTGTGTGTGTGGGTGTGTGTGTGGGGGGGGGGGGGTACCTTGCTGGAGCTCAGGTCCATGGGGTGTTTGATGATCTCGTGGTAGTCGTGCAGCCCGAGGGCGGTGTGTGTGTGGGTGTGTGTGTGTGTGTGTGGGGCTGTGTGTGGGTGTGTGTGTGGGTGTGTGTGTGGGGGGGGGGTACCTTGCTGGAGCTCAGGTCCATGGGTGTTTGATGATCTCGTGTAGTCGTGCAGCCCGAGGGCGGTGTGTGTGTGGGTGTGTGTGTGTGTGTGTGTGTGGGGCTGTGTGTGGGTGTGTGTGTGGGTGTGTGTGTGTGTGGGGTGGGGGGTACCTTGCTGGAGCTCAGGTCCATGGGGTGTTTGATGATCTCGTGGTAGTCGTGCAGCCCGAGGGCGGTGGCGTCCACGGGTTTGTAGAAGGGCCAGGCGTACGCCGCGTGTTTCTTGGACAGCAGTTCCTTGAGGATCGCGTTGCAGTGCTTGAGCCGTTCGCTGAGTTTGCTCTTCTTGGAGCTCTGGTGCTGCTGCGAGTCGGGCAGGTCCTTGCGCGGGGCTTTGATGGGCCGTCCGCTCTCCCTCCGCACCGGGATCTTGGCGGCCTTGGCCTCCGTCACCGAGGGAGACGACTCCCCGCTGGTGGTGATGATCGACGTGGTGGGTGTGGTGGTGTCCGCTTTCCTCTTCACGCCCTTCTTCTGCGAGGGAGGGAGGGAGGGGGGGAGGGAGGGGAGGGAGGGAGAGAGAGAGAGAGAGAGAGTGTGAGACAGAGTGTGTGAGAGGAGAGTGTGAGAGGAGAGACAGAGAGAGTGGGAGAGAGTGTGTGTGAGAGGAGAGAGAGAGAGAGTGAGACAGAGTGTGTGAGAGAGAGAGTGTGAGAGGAGAGACAGAGAGAGTGGGAGAGAGTGTGTGTGAGAGGAGAGAGAGAGAGAGAGTGTGTGTGAGAGGAGAGAGTGGAGAGAGAGAGAGAGTATGAGACGGAGTGTGTGAGAGAGTGTGAGAGGAGAGAGAGAGAGAGTGGGAGAGTGTGTGTGAGAGGAGAGAGAGAGTGGAGAGAGAGAGTATGAGACGGAGTGTGTGAGAGAGTGTGAGAGGAGAGAGAGAGAGAGAGTGGGAGAGTGTGTGTGAGAGTGGAGAGAGAGAGAGAGTATGAGACAGAGTGTGTGAGAGAGTGTGAGAGGAGAGAGAGAGAGAGAGAGAGAGAGAGTGTGAGAGTGTGTGAGAGAGAGTGTGAGAGGAGAGAGAATGGGAGTGTGTGTGAGTGGAGAGAGAGAGAGAGTATGAGACAGAGTGTGTGAGAGAGTGTGAGAGGAGAGAGAGAGTGGGAGAGGAGAGAGAGAGTGTGAGAGGAGAGAGAGTGGGAGAGTGTGTGTGAGTGGAGAGAGAGAGTATGAGACAGAGTGTGTGAGGAGAGAGAGAGTGTGAGAGGAGAGAGAGAGTGTGAGACAGAGTGTGTGAGAGGAGAGAGTGTGAGAGGAGAGAGAGAGAGTGGGAGAGTGTGTGTGAGAGGAGAGAGAGAGTGGAGAGAGAGTATGAGACAGAGTGTGTGAGGAGAGAGTGTGAGAGGAGAGAGTGTGAGAGGAGAGAGAGAGAGTGGGAGAGTGTGTGTGAGAGGAGAGAGAGAGTGGAGAGAGAGTATGAGACAGAGTGTGTGAGGAGAGAGAGTGTGTGTGAGAGTGTGAGAGGAGAGAGGAGAGTGTGAGAGAGAGTGTGAGAGAGTGTGAGAGTGTGAGAGAGAGTGTGAGACAGAGAGTGTGAGAAAGAGAGAGAGTTTGAGAGAGAGATTGTGAGGCACAAAGAGAGAGAGAGAGAGAGAGACTGTGAGAGATAGAGGGAGACAGAGTGAGAGAGAGAGAGTGTGAGCGACAGAGGGAGACAGAGAGCAAAAAGAGAGTGTGTGTGAGCGATAGAGGAGGACAGAGAGAGAGAGAGTGTGAGTGATAGAGGGAGACAGAGAGCGAGAGAGAGAGTGTGAGCGATAGAGGGAGACAGAGAGAGAGAGAGAGAGAGAGAGAGAGTGTGAGCGATAGAGGGAGACAGAGCGAGAAAGAGAGTGTGAGCGGTAGAGGGAGACAGAGAGTGAGAGAGAGAGTGTGAGCGATAGAGGGAGACAGAGAGCGAGAGAGAGAGTGTGAGCGGTAGAGGGAGACAGAGAGCGACAGAGAGAGAGAGTGTGAGCGATAGAGGGAGACAGAGCGAGAGAGAGAGAGTGTGAGCGGTAGAGGGAGACAGCGAGAGAGAGAGTGTGAGTGATAGAGGGAGACAGAGAGAGAGAGAGTGTGAGCGGTAGAGGGAGACAGAGCGAGAGAGAGTGTGAGCGGTAGAGGGAGACAAAGAGAGAGACAGTGTGAGTGATAGAGGGAGACAGAGAGCGAGAGAGAGAGTGTGAGTGATAGAGGGAGACAGAGAGAGAGAGAGTGTGAGTGATAGAGGGAGACAAAGAGAGAGAGAGTGTGAGCGATAGAGGGAGACAGAGAGAGAGAGAGTGTGAGTGATAGAGGGAGACAGAGCGAGAGAGAGAGTGTGAGCGGTAGAGGGAGACAGAGCGAGAGAGAGTGTGAGCGGTAGAGGGAGACAAAGAGAGAGAGAGTGTGAGTGATAGAGGGAGACAGAGAGCGAGAGAGAGAGTGTGAGTGATAGAGGGAGACAGAGAGAGAGAGTGTGAGTGATAGAGGGAGACAGAGAGAGAGAGTGTGAGTGATAGAGGGAGACAGAGAGAGAGTGTGAGTGATAGAGGGAGACAGAGAGCGAGAGAGAGAGTGTGAGCGGTAGAGGGAGACAGAGAGAGAGTGTGAGCGGTAGAAGGAGACAGAGAGCGATAGAGAGAGAGAGTGTGAGCGATAGAGGGAGAAAGAGAGTATGAGCAGTAGAGGGAGACAGAGAGCGAGAGAGAGAGAGTGTGAGCGATAGAGGGAGAGAGAAAGAGAGAGTATGAGCGACAGAGGGAGACAGAGAGAGAGAGAGAGAGAGAGTGTGAGAGTGTGTGTGAGAGGAGAGAGAGTGAGAGAGAGTATGAGACAGAGTGTGTGAGAGAGTGTGAGAGAGAGAGAGAGAGAGAGTGGGAGAGTGTGTGTGAGAGTGGAGAGAGAGAGAGAGTATGAGACAGAGTGTGTGAGAGAGTGTGAGAGGAGAGAGAGAGAGAGAGTGTGAGAGTGTGTGAGAGAGAGTGTGAGAGGAGAGAGAATGGGAGTGTGTGTGAGTGGAGAGAGAGAGTATGAGACAGAGTGTGTGAGGAGAGAGAGTGTGAGAGGAGAGAGAGAGTGTGAGACAGAGTGTGTGAGAGGAGAGAGTGTGAGAGGAGAGAGAGAGAGATGGAGAGAGTGTGAGAGGAGAGAGAGAGAGTGGGAGAGTGTGTGTGAGAGGAGAGAGAGAGAGAGCATGAGACAGAGTGTGTGAGAGAGAGTGAGAGGAGAGAGAGTGGGAGAGTGTGTGAGAGAGGAGAGAGAGAGTGGAGAGAGAGAGTATGAGACAGAGTGTGTGAGAGAGTGTGAGAGGAGAGAGAGAGAGATGGAGAGAGTGTGAGAGGAGAGAGAGAGAGAGATGGAGAGAGAGTATGAGACAGAGTGTGTGAGGAGAGAGAGTGTGTGTGAGAGTGTGAGAGGAGAGAGAGGAGAGTGCGAGAGAGAGTGTGAAAGAGAGAGTGTGAGAGGAGAGAGTGTGAGAGGAGAGAGAGAGTGGGAGAGTGTGTGTGAGAGGAGAGAGAGAGTGGAGAGAGAGTATGAGACAGAGTGTGTGAGGAGAGAGAGTGTGTGTGAGAGTGTGAGAGGAGAGAGGAGAGTGTGAGAGAGTGTGAGAGGAGAGAGAGTGTGAGACAGAGAGTGTGAGAAAGAGAGAGAGTTTGAGAGAGAGAGTGTGAGCGGTAGAGGGAGACAGAGCGAGAGAGAGTGTGAGCGGTAGAGGGAGACAAAGAGAGAGACAGTGTGAGTGATAGAGGGAGACAGAGAGCGAGAGAGAGAGTGTGAGTGATAGAGGGAGACAGAGAGAGAGAGAGTGTGAGTGATAGAGGGAGACAAAGAGAGAGAGAGTGTGAGCGATAGAGGGAGACAGAGCGAGAGAGAGAGTGTGAGCGGTAGAGGGAGACAGAGCGAGAGAGAGTGTGAGCGGTAGAGGGAGACAAAGAGAGAGAGAGTGTGAGTGATAGAGGGAGACAGAGAGCGAGAGAGAGAGTGTGAGTGATAGAGGGAGACAGAGAGAGAGAGAGTGTGAGCGGTAGAGGGAGACAAAGAGAGAGAGAGTGTGAGTGATAGAGGGAGACAGAGCGAGAGAGAGAGTGTGAGCGGTAGAGGGAGACAGAGCGAGAGAGAGTGTGAGCGGTAGAGGGAGACAAAGAGAGAGAGAGTGTGAGTGACAGAGGGAGACAGAGAGCGAGAGAGAGAGTGTGAGTGATAGAGGGAGACAGAGAGAGAGAGAGTGTGAGTGATAGAGGGAGACAGAGAGAGAGAGTGTGAGTGATAGAGGGAGACAGAGAGAGAGAGTGTGAGTGATAGAGGGAGACAGAGAGCGAGAGAGAGAGTGTGAGCGGTAGAGGGAGACAGAGAGAGAGTGTGAGCGGTAGAAGGAGACAGAGAGCGATAGAGAGAGAGAGTGTGAGCGATAGAGGGAGAAAGAGAGTATGAGCAGTAGAGGGAGACAGAGAGCGAGAGAGAGAGAGTGTGAGCGATAGAGGGAGAGAGAAAGAAAGAGTATGAGCGACAGAGGGAGACAGAGAGAGAGAGAGAGAGTGTGAGCGATAAGAGGGAGACAGAGAGCGAGAGAGAGAGTGTGAGCGGTAGAGGGAGACAGAGCGAGAGAGAGAGTGTGAGGAGTAGAGGGAGACAGAGACAGAGAGAGAGAGTGTGAGCGATAGAGGGAGACAGAGAGAGAGAGAGTGTGAGTGATAGAGGGAGACAGAGAGCGAGAGAGAGAGTGTGAGCGGTAGAGGGAGATAGAGAGCGAGAGAGAGAGTGTGAGGAGTAGAGGGAGACAGAGACAGAGAGAGAGAATGTGAGCGATAGAGGGAGACAGAGAGAGAGAGAGAGTGTGAGCGATAGAGGGAGACAGAGAGAGTGTGAGCGATAGAGGGAGACAGAGAGAGAGAGAGTGTGAGCGATAAAGGGAGACAGAGAGTGTGAGCGATAGAGGGAGACAGAGAGAGAGAGAGAGAGAGACAGTGTGAGTGATAGAGGGAGATAGAGAGAGAGAGTGTGAGCGATAGAGAGAGTGAGCGATAGAGAGAGAGAGTGTGAGCGACAGAGGGAGTCAGAGTGCGAGAGAGAATGTGAGCGATAGAGAGAGAGAGAGTGTGAGCGACAGAGGGAGACAGAGAGAGAGAGAGAGTGTGAGTGATAGAGGAAGAGAGAAAGAGAGAGTGTGAGTGGAGAGAGAGAGTATGAGACAGAGTGTGTGAGGAGAGAGAGTGTGAGAGGAGAGAGAGAGTGTGAGACAGAGTGTGTGAGAGGAGAGAGTGTGAGAGGAGAGAGAGAGAGTGGGAGACAGTGTGTGAGAGAGTGTGAGAGGAGAGAGAGAGAGTGGGAGAGTGTGTGTGAGAGGAGAGAGAGAGAGAGCATGAGACAGAGTGTGTGAGAGAGAGTGAGAGGAGAGAGAGTGGGAGAGTGTGTGAGAGAGGAGAGAGAGAGTGGAGAGAGAGAGTATGAGACAGAGTGTGTGAGAGAGTGTGAGAGGAGAGAGAGAGAGTGGGAGAGTGTGTGTGAGTGGAGAGAGAGAGAGAGAGAGTATGAGACAGA